CTGGTAGCTTTTAGCTCTGCCCTAACATTGTGAACATCCTGTCTGGTCGCTTTCAGCTTGGCCCTAATCAATTCCATTTGGTCATCCATGGCTTTCTCCAACCTAGCTATTGCCTGGATAATTGTTAGCCTGAATTCTCTTTCCGACATATTGTCTATGTTGATAGCCGTTAGCTCTGTTGCAGAAGGCCCATCTTCTGTATTTTTCTTCTGTTGGGCATTCCTCCTCCTAGTCATTTTGGTGAGAGATGACTGAACAGATGTAGCTGGTTGTATTGACCGTGGTGCAGTCTGGGTGCACCCTGGAACACTTCTGAGCAATCAGGATTCCCCACCCAAATGAGAGAAAAAAGAAAAGAAAAAGAAAAAAGAGAGAGAGAGAGAGAGACAGGAAAGAAAGGGAAGATGAAAGAGAAGGTTCAGCCCAAATGGGCCCCGAGGTAAGATTTATGAGGTATACAAACAAAAACAGACAAACAAAAAGACAGATAAAAGTATATAACAAGAGAAAAATATATATATATGCAAATAAAGGAAGAACCTTGTCGAAAAGAACCCCAAGTGTAAGATTTATATACTCTCAGGACAAACACAAAAACACAGAAACACTGGTGGAAGAAAAAGATGGGAGAGTGGTTATAAATTCTCAGTGTGGGCAAGGAAGGTTGTTTTGATTCTTCCTGGATGTATCTTGATATATTTGTCAAAGGACTCAACTTTCCTAGGCTAAAGGGGGATTAAAAATTGGTTTATCTATAGGGGTAGTATTGATTGGGGAAAGGGGATTACTTTGAAGTTTAACTCTATATGAATATTAGAAAATAAAAATAAAAAAGGAATAAACTAGACTAAACTAAACTAAAATTTAGAAAAAAATTTAAAAAATCAAAATCAAAAGAAAAACACAGGTGTATGTATCAAAAATTTCAGGTTAGAAGGTTATTATTTAATTTGATGTACTGGACAGCTCACTGTGATGGTAAATAGGTTTAAAAATTATCTATATAAAAAAATGAGCCAGAATAGTGGGAACAAATTAAAAATAAAAGTTGTCCTATGAAGTATTGGTGGTGGTTCTCTTGTAGTTTTTTTTTTTTTCTTTCCTGGTTGGTGTTCTGGGGGAGGGACCTGCCACGTGGGTTTTCAGTCAATGATGTTCCCTGAGTTAAGTCGTCCAGTCCCCATCAAGGGGGTGGGCTCTGAGGAAACCGGTTTTTTCAGGCTTTTGTTCTCTGGAGGTTTTTATGTTTGTCCACCTTTTTTTTTTTTCCTCTCGCGTTGACCGCTTTTGATGGTTTTTGTAGGTTTAGAGGAAAGCAAACTGCACCCTGACCTCCCTCTCAGAGAGAAGCCTCAGTCTGTTCTTCTGTGGGTGTTGCAGAGCCCATATAAATCCCCCCTTGGCCGCTGGCAGAGCAGGTTCTGAGTCGCGGTCCCTGGGGATGCAGGATCTTCTGCTTGTACCCAAAACCAAAGCAGCGGCATCTGTTTGGGCAGCTCCAGACCACCAGAGAGGTTCCAAGCCGTGATCGCACACTGAGATTTTCCCGCTGGCCCGGGCTGGGAGTGCCTGGTCTTTCTGGGTCTAAGAGCGCCAGGCTTGCACGCACCTCTTTCAGGGAGGCTGTGGGTCGCACGCGTGTCTCAGGCTCTGAGAACGGGGCGCAGGTCCGAAAGCACCAGGCTGGGCCTTCGTGCACCTCTCTCAGGGGAGAGTTTGGGGTGCACATCTTGGGCTCTGAAACAATGGCGCGTGTCAAAGAGCACTGGCTGGGCCTTTGTACCTCTCTCAGGGGAGGATGAGGGGCGCGCGCATCTCAGGCGCTGTAGCAGGGCTCGCACGTGGCTCCCATCCCCTCACAGGGGCCAGAACCCAGGCAATCTCAGGCGCGCTGGTGGCTCAGGGACCAAGACCTTGTTTCTCCACCGCACTCTCTCTGGCTCAGTGCCAGGGGAGGCTGTCCTGGGACCAGGGACTTAAGCCCCTGTCCCTAGCCACCTGGATTCCCACAATTTCCCCCACCACAATCTTTTGCTCTTTTGGAGTGCTTTCAACCAGTCTCCAAGTTAATGCTGGTCCCCAGACGCAGGGCATTCTCACTCATATTAGGGGTATTACTTTCCAACCTGTCACCTCTGGTGGCTCCCTCCCCCTTTTGTTTATCTTCCGATATCAGTCCACCTTTCCCACTCCGCTTTACTTGCCTACTGGCGTCTTCTGCCCCTGTAGAGATCCAGATGTGTGTAATTCTGATCTCAGGCTGATTTCATGGGTGATCGGAGTTCTTTGGTAGGTTATCAGCTCACTTTAGGGTACAGGTTGAAAAGGCGCCTCCTCCTACTTCCCCGCCATCTTGTCCCCCCTCTGGAGCTCAGTTTTCACTGTGAAAACATTCACATTACCATGGGCCAAGTCTGTGTGAAAACTCAGTCAGGGCTCTTGGCAATTTCCTCATTGGAAGAAAGCACTCAGAACTCTGGGGGGCAATCATGCAAGGAGGACACACCATTGGAGAGGAATGCCAGTGTGGTGGGTAACAAGCTGCACCATAGCTCCTACAGCTCAACATGAAATTTGTCCTACAGACAGGACTGGAGTCCTTTTCAGCAGAAACCTGAGTGTTTGGATGTGAGGTCTCATCTCCAAGATCATCAGGAGAGTCCCTTAATGAGGCTGTACAAGAAAACTCCTCAGCAAAGAGTCAGTCTTGAATTAGAAAGTGTTTTAAAATTTGCATTTGTGCACACAGAGATAGTAGATGTCTTAAGGGAAATTACCACAGCAAGCAGCCATAACTTGTGGGATTGTCAAAGCCCATCAGCCAACACTGTGTGTGTAGCCCCCAGAAGGAGAGTCCAGTGGGTAGTCCCAACCAGTTCTCCTTCCCAATTCTGCCATATGAAATGCTTGCAATCTTTTTTTTTATGATTTTATTTATTTATTTGACAGAGAGATCACAAGTAGGCAGAGAGGAAGGCAGAGAGAGAGAGGAGGAAGCAGGCCCCCCCCTGAACAGAGAGCCCGATGGGGGCTCCATCCCAGGATGCTGGGATCATGACCTGAGCCGAAGGCAGAGGCTTTAACCCACTGAGCCACCAAGGCACCCCAAATGCTTTGCAATCTTACTGCAGGGTTCAGCTTACAAGAGAAAGCTCATGGGAGAGCTTAAATACTTATAGCAATAATCACAGCAAAGATAAACAATCAAGTACAAACATAAGTAGTGACTTAAAAATCAGTAGGATATTATTTGGAAAGCTTGTGTAACTTAAATGTTGCAGTGGTTGAGGGACAGGGATTTTTTAGGTATGCAGTTAGTGGTGAAAGATATGGAAAATGGGGGAAAACGCACTTTTCACTGCTGTTAAGACAATTAAATTGCTCTTGACCTTGAAGACATATGTATTGAGGATGTGTCGGTCCTCAGGATTGAACAGTATGGAGAGTTGGCACAAGTTTGCTTCTGCCTGGGGACATCACCGGTGGGACATCCTGCTCACCCAATCTGGGTGGAGGAGTACCCATATTTGCCTGGTCCTGACGGAGCAACCCTCACAATATTCTTCTGCTCAAACCCCTCCATCCATAACCTGCTGAGAAGCTGACTACTAGTAGCACAGCTACAGAGCATTCATCAGTGGTCTCCTCTGAGCCTCTAACATGTGCACATCTCCTCAATGAGCACCTTTCCTGCTTTTCTTTTCAACAACTTCGTTGGGATATAATTTACACATTCTATGATTCATCCCTTTAAAGTTTTCAGTAGCTTTGAATATATTCACAAAGTTGTACACCCATCATAATCAGATTTAGAACGTGTTCATTATCCAAAAGATATCCTGTACCTCTTGACTACCTCTCTTTTCCCTCCTACCATTTGCCCTTCCAATCTAGGAAACCCTCAATATATTTTCCGTGCCTAAGGATTTGCCTTTTCCGGACATTTCATATGAATAGAATCACAGAATTCATGGTCCGATGGGCTGTCGGCATCCACAGAGCATAATGTTTTGGGGTTCTTCAATGTTGTGGGTGGTATCACTACTTCATTTTTTTCTTGCCCAATAGCGATCTATTGTATGGATAGACCACTTTTCTTTATCCATTGAACAGTGGGTGGACAACTGTGTGAATTCCACCTGAGGGGTTATTGTAATAATGTCGCTGTGAACATTTGCATGCAGGTTTTACCTAGATGTACGTTTTCATCCCTCTTAGGTATCCACCTAGGAATGGAACTGCTGGGTGATTTGGTGACTCTGTTTAGATTATTTTATTAGTTTTATTGGGAAAGAATTGGCATACATCACTGTGTGAATTTAAGACATACAGCATGATCTATATATGTTGTGAAGTAATTACCACTGTAGGTTCAGCTAACATCTATCATCTCAATAAAAGGAAAAGAAAGAATAAAAAAGAGAAAAAGTTCTCCATGTGATGAGAACTCAAGATATAGTCCCTTAACAACTTTCCTATAAATCATACAGTCGTATCTGTATATTAGGTAGTCATTAGACAGACTGTTCTCTGTAGTGATCAGGTTGTACACTATATCCCTAGTACTTATTTATCTTATAACTGAAATCTTGTACCATTTGAAAACTTCCTCCAATTCCGCCTTCTCGCCCTGTGATAAATTGAATCCACAAGTGTGTTCTCTTTTTCTATGAACTTATTTTATTTTAATTTTAGATTCCACACATCGGTTAGAACATGCAGTATTTGTCTGTCTGATTTATGTTACTTAGCATAATGCTTTCAGTGTCCATACATGTTACAAATGGTAGGATTTCCTCATTTTCTATGGTTGAATATGTTTAAATTTTTGACAAACTAGCAAACATTTTTCCAGAGGCTTGCTGTTTGTCACCTAAGTACCTTTGCAGGGAGTTGGGTGTGGATCTGATGCCCTCAGTTTGGTTTACCAAATATGATGATTCCTCTGCCACCCTATGTGCCGGGCTCTCTTAACTCCCCTGTTTTTCCTATTTCTGCAGGTCACTCCATTGCTCAGTGATGTGACACAGCCCACCCACTCTCTTCACACCCCATTACTTGCATCCTCTGCCTCTGATACACCGTACAATATAGGCTGGAGTGTCCTACCTAAGGAGGTTGCCATAAACATGGAAAAGGCCTTGGGAGGAGGGAAGTTGCTGGAGGTAGTCTCTGTGGTCAAGGAGACCCTGAAGACAGCATCCAGTGCCCCAGTGAACATTGCAGTGACTGGGGACTCTGGCAATGGCATGTCCTCCTTCATCAATGCACTGAGGGGAATTGGGCAGGAGGAGGAGGACTCAGCTCCCACTGGGGTGGTGAGGACGACCCAGATTCCCACTCGCTACTTTTCCTCCCACTTTCCCAACGTGGTGCTGTGGGACCTACCCGGAATAGGGGCAGGTACCCAAAGCCTGGAGAACTATCTGCAGGAGATGCAGTTTAGTCTGTATGACCTCTTCATCATCATTGCATCAGAACAGTTCAGCATGAGTCTCGTGAAGCTTGCCAAAATCATCCAGGACCTGGGAAAGAAGTTCTATATCGTCTGGACCAAGCTGGACAGAGACATCAGCACAAGTGCCCACTTGAAGGAACGACTCATGAAGAATATTCAGGAGAATATCCAGGAAAATCTCCAAAAAGAGGGAGTGTGTGAACCCAACATATTCCTGGTCTCTAGCTTTGACCCCTTATTGCATGACTTCCCCAAGCTTAGGAGCACCTTGCACAGGGACATTTCTGACACCAGGTACTTTGGTCCCCTAGAGAATCTGTCCCACACTTATAAGAAGGCCATTAATGACAAAGTGATTACTTGCAGGAAGAAAATAGCCTCAAAGTCTTTTGACACCCTTGGTATCTGGAATGCAGATGATCTGGAGCAAAGTCTGATGGCCTACCGCTTGTTCTTTGGTATAGATGATGAATCTCTCTGTCAGGTGGCTCAGAGTATGGGGAAGTCCATAGAGGAGTACAGGGCCCTTATGAAGTCTCGAGATCTAAACACTGTCCGCAGAGGGGACTGGCCATTTTCTTGCATGAATTGTAATGTAGTCTCTTGCTTATGTTTAATTCTGAGATGTATCCCACTGTTAGGTGGTTTTGTTTTCAACTCCCTTAGAAAGTGGAAACACAGACGCCTCCTTGAAATAGTTGCCAAGGACACCAAGGACATCCTGAAGAAAATCCTGACAGACTCCATCATCTGAAGAAGTGATGTCTCAGCAGCCTCCTTCTGAAGGGAAGTCAGGACATCTGGGGTCCTGTCCTCACATCCTTTCTCAATTCTCAGTCAAGCTCAATTACTTTCACTTTCATTGATTGTCAGTTCCTTGAGGCATATGAGATGACTTGCTCATTTTGAACTCATGTCAGGAAATACCCAAATATGTTGTACTTTTGTCATTTATTAAATGAGCCTGCATCCAAAGGTGGAAGAAAATATCTGCTCAATGTGACATACAGTCTCATTCTGACATCCATTTCTCACTTAACTTTAACACCATTTCTCTGATGTCCATGTTCTTTCACTTCTCATCTCACACTCTGTGGACTCACACAATCTTGACCTCCTGGTATGTCAGTGGTAGACACTTTAAGATGACCTCTAACATTTCCTCCTATTTTCATGCCTGTGTTTAAACCCTTTCCCTGGAGTGATTAATAGAATATGGCAGCAATAAATGAATGTCCAAAAATTCCAGAACTTTGTTATGAAAAGTGCATCTCTGTCTTATAAACACTCTGTTCACTAGCTCTGCCTTGCTCCTGTTCCAGCTCTGTTTTCCTCTCTCTCTCTCCATCTCCCTCTCCTCTTCCCTCTCTCGGCCTAGTTACCATAAAAATTTTGGAGAGGTCCTGAGGAATCAGAGGCCATGTGGAGGATAGCAGAGGCAGCCTACATTAACTGCTGGTCATGTAAATGTGTCATCTTGAGAGTAAATCCTTCAACCCCAGCAAGACTTCAGGAGATGCAGCCCAGCTGATAGCTTGACTGCCATCTCAGGAGAGACCCTTATCCAGAACCACACAATTAAAACTGTTCCTGAATTTATGGCCCTCAGAAACTATAAGCAAATAAACACTTGTTTTAAGCCACTAAGTTTCAGGATAATTTGATCCACAACAACAGAAACCAGATAATACCATCAAGAAGCTCCTTACAAAATGGCCAGGTGTGAGTGACCTCCTCTCCCTGTGAGAGTCACTCCTGCATGTACCCAGCATGAAGGAGCTGTACCCTCTCCAATCACAGCTCTTTCCTCCTTGGCCCCTGTACATGTCCTTCCTTGCTACCTACTGAAGGACCAGCCTCTGCCAACATTTTCAGGTCATTTCATCCAGCCTCATGCCATGCAGAGTTATCCAGTTTGGGGATATATATTTAACAAGAAAAAAGCAGGAAAAAAAAAAAGAAGAATAAAAGAAAGAGCTAGATAGCTACATACAGCCTTGCTCAGTAGTTGGAGGGAGAGTAAATGACAGTAGAATGTGAGCACTCCCCTGAGGAAGAGCAGGCTAGGGTTCTCCCTGAAGGTGTTCTGTGAAACACCTCTAATTCCTGCTCTCACTTGGACTACTTGCTCTCCCAACCTGGAGCACAGGCCTTGCTCATATCGGTCCATTCACTAAGTGGCATTGGTGCTTCTGGATTTCCTGTTCCCTGTTCATTTACATTGCATCCATTTTCAGAGTGAGAAAAAAGTTCTCTGTGTGGTAAACTTTCTAGTCTTTGCATTTTCAAATTAATGCCATTGTTTTGTGATAGCTTTCAATAGTTTAACTGAGTATAGGATTCCGGACACAACATCATATTCTCTTAGAACTATGAAGATCTATCTCCTTTTAGCATGCCACATTGCCAGTAAAAAGGCCAATGCCAATTCCATTCACATTCCTTGGATGACCACCTGGTTGTCTCCAAGGAAAGTTGTAGGAACTCTTCATCCCTGGGTTTCAGAAATGTCAGCAGGGACTAGTGACCTGGAGCACTTCCATCAACACTGAGCATTCAGAAGGTTACATAAATTAATCTGTAATGTCAACATTATACCAAAAGATTAATTACTCGCCATATATCTGTGTTTCAGTCCTTTCCACACTGTGTAGGTAAACTTAATTATCTGTTTTCTGCCAATATCTGTCCTCTCTTTTTCCACAATTATGAAGACTGCTGCTGGGAGCACATGTCCATGCCTTCTGCAAATATTTGCAGAGTGTCTCTTAAGTATAGTGTTAGGAGTAGAAATGCTGAATCCTGCGGCACATGAATGTGCAATTTTATGATTGAGCCATATTGTTTTTTTCAAAAAGATTGTATTGATTTATAGTCCCAGCAGCCATGTTTCAGAGAGTCTATCAATGTACATTCTCACCAATACCTGACTTTGTCCAACTTTTCAAATTTTGCAGCAAACTAATTAACAATATCATATCATAGTGCACAGAGATGAATTTGTCTCACTACTTGTGGTAATTTCTCTATTTTTCTCTATACATGTTTCTTTTTCTATGAACATTCTGTAGATGTCTTCTGCCCACCTCCATGCTGGATTGTTTCAGGGTTTTTTTGGTGACTTCTGGAATTTTTAACATACTTTCCTTCCATTGATCATTAGTTGATTACATTTATACAAAAATCTCTAGATTTGTGGAGATTTCTAAACTTTCTTTTTGCATTTCTTTTCATGAAGAGAAGCTTTTCACTTTAATGTAGTCAAAGGTATTACATTGGTCAGTCTGTGTTATACAGCTGCCATCTTGGTATCTTTATACCACTATCATCTCATTTAAGAAAACTTTCTCTAGGAGAAAAAGGAGGAGTTAAGATGGCAGAGGAATAGGTGAGTCTAATTTCATCTTGTCCCTGGAATTCAGCTTGGTAGTTATCAAATCATTCTGAACATTTGCAAAATTAACTGGAGATCTTAGAAAAGAATTGCTGAGATTCTACAAATAAGAAAGCAACCATTTGCAAGGTAGGAGGTGCAGAGACATGAATCCAGAGATATATATCAAAATATAAACTTCCAGGAAAGAGCCTGACTTAAGGAGGCTACCAGAAAGTATTTAAGCAGTAGAAACACAAAATCAGAACTTTTGAAGTCTGTGTGGGTGGGAGACATCCTCCCTGGGAAGCTCAGGTAGTGAAGCAGGGCAGAATATCAGGTAGGACAGCATTGTCTCAGGATCCCCATGGCCACAAAAAGAATGGGGGTGCCTGAGTGTGACAGAGTTCCCAAACATCAGAGTAGGGAAGTCTGCTGCAAACAGTTGAGTTTAGAAGCTGGCTTTCTACACAGTGTTGCCTTAAACCACAAACTGCTGCTTGGTTGGGGGTCCACTCCCCAAACAGGGGCCAAGCAAAGGGCAGAAGCCCAGCAAGACACCCCTTCCTCCCCTGAGGAGGGGTGGGGGCCTGTGCCACAGGATCTGATAAAGTTTGGAGACTTGAAACAAGGTTGCATGCCTGAGATAAAAAATGTTCTGTCACAGGATAGGTGAGCATAGAGTTCAGATGGAAACCAGGGAGACAAGAGTGATTGACTGCTTTTCTGTGAGTGGGGTGTGACCTTTCAGCTCTGGGGCTAGGGATTGGAGTGGTACCATTTTTATCCTCCCCATTGGTGCAGAAAGCCTTCAGGTAGCACCACCTAGTGTAATCCACAGCTGCTTGCACTGAACCCAGCACACTGGCAAGGGTGGGTGGTATATTTCACCCAGGAAAGACACCTGAGAATCAGTGCAACAGGCCCCTGCCGCAGAAGACCAGCAGGAACATGAAGCTAGTACATAGTTTACTGATTATACAGAATTGCAAAACTTAAACTCTTGGGTAAAACAGTATATAATATTCATCTTTTTTTTTCTTATTCTATAGTCTTTCAATTTTATATATTTTTTTCCTTCTTAGCTATTTTTTATTTTATCAATTCCCTTTTTAAGTCTTTTTTAATTTTTATATTTAGATTTTATATATATATATATGTATATATATATATATATATATATATATATATATATATAAATTTTTGGTTTCCTTTCAGTGTATTCAATTTTATTTTTTATATATATAAAAGTTTTTGTTTCTTTCTTATTTTGGGACATAATTTCCTCAAACAAAGAGCTCAAAATACACCCAGGATCTAGTTTACTTTGTGTTCTGTTCTCCTTCTTGTTTGATTATTTCTTTCTCTCTGCCTCTCTGTCTTTCTCTCTCTCTCTCTCTCTCTCTTTTTTTTTTTTTTTTAGTTTGTGTTCTCTTTTGATTTCCTTAGTGCATATATTTCTTGTGTTATTACTAGTTTTACATTTTTCTCTCTCTTTCATCTATTGTTTTCTGGACATAATTATGAGATGGAAAAACTCATCCCAAAAAAGAACAAGAGGCAGTTCTCACTGAGAGAGATTTAATTTGTATGGATATAAGTAAGATGTCATAAATAGAATTCAAAACAATTATAAAGACGGTAGCTGGGCTTGAAAAAAGCATAGAAGACACTAAAGAATCCCTTACCAGAGAAATAAAAGAACTAAAATCTAATCAGGCCAAAATCAAAATCGCTATTACCAAAAGGCAATAAAAAATGGAGCCTCCAAGTGCTAAGATAAATGAGGCAGAAGAAAGAGTTAGTGATATAGAAGACAAAATGACAGAGAATAAGGAAACAGAAAAAGAGAGATAAAAAACTACTAGATCACAAAGGGAATATTTGAGAGATCAGTGATAACATAAAGCAAAAACCATACTAGAAGGGTCTCAGAGGAAGAGGAAAGAGGGGTGCTGAAAGTTTATTTCAACAGATTATAGTTGAGAACTTCCCTAATCTGGAGAAGGAAACTGGCCTTCAAGTCCTGGAGGTTCAGAGAATTCCCTTTAAATCAATAAAAATAGGTAAACAACTAGACATAATAATGAAGCTTGCAAATTTCAGAGATAAATAGAAAACCCTGAAAGCAGATCATGATGAGAGGTCTTTAACTTACAAAGATAGGAACATAAGGCTGGCAGCAGACATGTCCACAGAGACCTGGCAGACCAAAGGACTGGCATGATATATTCAAGGTGATGAAAGAGAAAAATATGCAGCCAAGAATACTTTATCCAGGAGGAGTCAAGATGGCGGAGAAGTAGGAGGCTGAAGAACATCAGGGAGCAGGAGATCAGCTAGATAACTTATCAAACCATTCCAAACACCTACAAATCCAACAGGAGATTGAAGAGAAAAAGAGCAACAATTCTAGAAACAGAAAATCTACCACTTTCTGAAAGGTAGGACCAGTGAAGAAGTGAATCCAAAGCGATGGGAAGATAGACCTCAGGGAGAGGGGCCAGCTCCCAGCTCCTGGTGGAGCAACAGAGCACTAAATCAGAACTTTTAAAAGTCTGCTCCACTAAGGGACATCGTTCCAGAGGCTAAACGTGGGGTGAAGCCCACGTGGGG